GAGCTGGCGGGGAGAAATTCCACATCTTTGGTGTACCGGCAATCGATGGACTGCTCAGCCTCTTGCACACTCGCCCACATGCACTAATATTAATTTCCAGTTTTCCGTTTTTCTATTTCGAAAATTATAGGTATTGGGCTAAGGGTATACTTGAAGGCCCACTTGAGCGTTCATCCTTGAAGACCAGTTAAGGATGTTTATCCTAAATAGCAAGGACTTGAAAAAATGGATTTGAAGGAATTCCCCTCACTTTTATAGAAATTTTAATCCACCAAAACATGCTCATTATTTAGAAATTAAGTAGACAAAGTGTGCAAATGCGTGAGCTAACATGCGCTTATGTGGGATTGAATCATTCAAATATTTCCTCTTTTTGCCCGCGTACCCCAGATTTTTCTGGGGCCACTGGGTTCAGCAGGATTTTACACATTACCTTCTATTTTTATTTCTACACGGAGAGAAATATTCAATAAAAATTACGTATCTTTTCCGTAATTCCGGAGTGAAATGCGGTTGTAGGAAATTTTACGGAACTGTCACTGAATTTTTCCAGAGCGTTCCGTAATTTTTGTCTGACTCTCCTGTGAAAAATTACGATACCGTCACGTAAATTTTCTGAGTCGATTCCGTAATCGGTAAGCGAATTGTGAGTTCCGTAATTTTTACACGGAGAGAAATATTCAAGGAAAATTACGGAACATTTCACGTAATCCGCAAGCGAGAATCGTTTTCAGTGAATTTCTATAGGAATATAAGAGAATAAATCTGAAACGCTCAGTAAATTTTCGGGTCTGTCACCGAAAAAATACGAAAAAGTCACGTAATTTTTCTGGAAGTTGTAAAATCTAACAGAAACTTCAAGACTTACTATGCCTCAGAACATGAAAATTCTTGGATGTTTAAGAATTTTTACGAACAGTTCCGGAAAAATTACGGAACGTTTTGTTAAAATCTCCCCCTCACGGTGACTCATGGCTAGCCGTGAGGCGTCGGACGGATGAGTAATTTTTACGGAACAGATCGTAGAATTTACGTGACGATTGACACTTTTTATTGAATTTTACTTCGCTCCCAGATTACGTTTCGAAACGTCATTTTTACGTCTTTTTCTGGTAATTTTTATTGAATATTTCTCTCCGTGTACTGAACATTTCTCTCCGTGTATTTTTAGAGTCTTCTAGCAGGTGAATTATCAATTTGAACATAAATTTCATAACAGCCCGTGTATAAAGCAAAATTAGTTTATTCATTTCTCCCGAGACTATTGCGATTAATTTTTTTTAACGTTAGAAAAGTTAGTTTTATATGCTCTGCTGTCATCCGAAAAAATTACAGAATTTTCCTTGACCATGAAAAAAAAAAACACATTTACCGACAATTTACCGACACTGGCTAAACACCCTTAACTGAAAAAATGGCCCGCGTGTGACTTTCATTGACCGGATAATAAAAATATTTTTAACTTTGCGGTGGAGCATTGAGGCATTATCATAACCACGCTGAGCTGATTGAAATCTTTAATTTTGCAATTGCTACTCGGAAATCTCTTCCGGAAGGAGAATGAGTAAAAAATCATGGACACATTCTGTAAACAAATTTTACGAGGAAACTTTACGACGACTGCAGACAGATTTTTCATTCACCTTGCAATGCAAATTGAAAAAATGGAGACTTCCCATTAATCTGCGTTTATATGTCACAGTTTTTTTCCTCACCGTTTTTTTTTCATCTTGAAGAATGACTAGTTTACGTAATCAATGCAGAGATAATTGAATACCGCTAATGAAGCAATCCATTGCATTGTGATGAATGAAGAAAATTAATGAGCAGGGGTTTGGATCCCCTCTCGGGGGGATGAATTTATTGTGCGAATCAATATTCACTCCAGAAATATTCTATTCCTAAATTCAGTAGCGAAGCGGTAAACCGGGTTAAGCCGATTTTGAGTATCGACCAGTTTTTGACGAATATCTCGGAATCTAAAAGAGATAGAAAAATTTATGTCTCGACCTTTTTTGTAGAGCCAATTGAGGGTTACAAAAAAGGTCATGAGAAAAATTTTACTATCTCTCTTAGATTCCGAGATATTCATTAAAATCTGACCAAAAGTCAAAATCGATTTACACTGTTAAAAATTTTTGTCTGAATTTTCCCCGACAAATTCCGAAAAATTTTATCGTTTTCCAATTCCACTGAATTTTGACCAAATTTTGTCATTGGAAATTCCGAATTTCGTGGAAAAATCAGACAGAGCTGTAAATTTCCGTTCCATTTCCCCCTGAAAATGAATAGAAAACCAGAAAATTCTGGTAAATATATTCTTGAATTTTCAGGCCAGTGACACTGAATGCGATTTGGGGAGAAAAAATAATGAAATTTCATATTTATTTGAAAATCCAATGTAATTTGGCACAGAAATTTCATATTAGATTAGAAATTCAAATAAATTAAGGAATTCTCGTCTTTACGCTGCTTAAACTTCTGGAATTTCACTAAATTTTCAGTGAAAACTGGAATTTCATGATTTTTTCCCCTAAATCGCATCCAGTCACTGTCCTGAAAACTGGTCTTCAACTATCCATGAAATTTAATTTATTTTCTAACAGCGTAACCCGGTTTACGCTTCGCTACTGAATTATCTTTGCCTTCCGAGAACCAATAATGAAGACATCTTCTCTATCATCAAAACGCGCACATATCCTGCCTCGAGGGCGTGTTGTTGAGAATAAAAACACGCTAATTGTTGTGTTTTAAATGAAAATATTCACTCGAATTTGTGCTTCGAACGGGCTCATCGATTTAATTCATGCACATACGATTGGAGAATAAAATGAGAGGGCTAGAATGCAACGAAATTAATTGATAAATTGAGCAACTAAGCGTGCATTTGTTTCCAAGAATACACTTTGCCGCTGGTGTGACCTCAATTATGATGAACTGTCGTAGTGTTAATTCATTGCGTTTAAACTGAAATCATTACATCACGTCGAAATTCAATTACAACAAAATTTCAATTCTCCTCCGGAAAATCGATTATCCATTGACAAACTGAAATGGGAGATCTGAGATATCCGAGGGAAATGATTCCATCGTAACTTCATCGATTATATAAAAACTACGCTTCGAATCACTCTCCCCCCCACCCCCGCCCGCTCCTCACTCGTCGTTTCAACACTCCCTCCCCTCTTGCTCCTCTGTAATCCGGCCCGATATCGCTCGATGGCAATGTTCCAAAGCTTTCCGTATACATATATACACACGGCAAATCCCGGGCATTCATGAAATTCCATTGTATTTTATTAATAAGCATCATTCACAATTTTATTAAATATTTAATGATTAATTAATTCAACCGGCTACACGTCTATATTTTCAGGGATTAAACCCGATGGATGTATTTGAATTAGAAATTGCGAGGTAAATCGAAGTCGAATGTACATTTATTATAATTTTGAGGAAACCAATAAAGTTAAATATTTACTGTATAATATTTGGGCATTTTCGTTAGCGAATATTCGACAAATTGAATTTCACGGATGCAACGTTGAAGATTGAGTATTAAATATTCCCCTTGACTGCACGGAGAGAAATATTCAATAAAAATTACGTTTTTTTCCATAATTCCGGAGCGAAATGTAGTTGTAGGAAATTTTACGGAACTGTCACGGAATTTTTCCGGAGCGTTCCGTAATTTTGATCTGAATCTCCGGTGAAAAATTACGATACCGTCACTTGAATTTTCGGAATCGATTCTGTAATCGGTGAGTGAATTGAGAGTTCCGTAATTTTTATTGAACATTTCTCTCTGCGCATAAAATTATTCAGAGTGGAAACGAAAAATTAAAGGGGAAGAGAATTCGTTTTATTCCTCAGTCTGTAGCACCTAGAAATCGAACGATTTGGTGCATGTGATCGCGTACAGTGCACCGAAAATATTTGACGAACGGCTACTCTATAGATGTATATGTTTTAGTAAATTGATAGCTTATCGATGAGTTTGGAGGCCCCATTGGTGCAATTGCCATAGCAACGGACCACTACCAACGCATTTTCACTTTGATTTCAATTATTCAGTGGGTACGTGTTTTAAGAGATCTGGTGGAGGCCTTCACACACGCCCGTAAAATGGCTGTTTTTTTGAATACATTTCCTATTTATGTATCGACTATTACCCTGGCTTCTGTTGAATTGAATTTTTCTTTCATTGCGGATGATTAACCCTAGATTGGTCGCTCTATGAGGGAAACCCCGCCGCGCGTAGTTTTTGTTTCGGTCAATTTTTAATGAATATCTCGGAAGCTAAGGGAGATAGCAAATTTTTTGTAATGACCTTTTTTATAGAGCATATTGAGTGCTGCAAAAATGGTTATAATAAAAATTTCGCTATTTTGCTTAGATTCGGAGATAATCCTCGAAAACTCAGCGAAGAGCGTCTTGTTGTTTTGGTCAATTTTTAATGAATATTAAAATTTATTCCCAAAATTCCTAAAGAAAAGAAATTATTCCGAACAGACGAATTATTTTTTTCCATGTTAAATGAAATTGCCCATGACGCGACGTTGCCGGAAACTCGCTAAAGCGCACGAGCAGTGTAGGGTGAATTCTGCAACGCTGAAGCCTAAATAACACGGCGGGGAATCCCCGCGCAGGTGACCAACTCGCAGGGTTACGTTTGGTGACAAGAGTGGGGTTAAATTCAGTAGCGAAGCGGTAAAGCGGACGAGGTCGATTTTGCCTGTTGACCAGTTTATGTCGAATATCTCGGAATCTAAAAGAGATAGAAAAATTTATATCATGACCTTTTTTGTAGAGCCAATTGAGGGTTACAAAAAAGGTCATGAGAAAGATTTTGCTATCCCTCTTAGATTCCGAGATATTCATCAGAAATTGGCCAGAAATCAAAATCGACTTTACCCGGTTTACCCCTTCGCCACTGAGTTTAAATTGTTCTCTCAAAATTACACTAGACATTCCTAATGATAACTCGTTATCCATTACAGGACGAAGTTCTAACAATATCAGAAAAAGTGGTAGTTCGAGTTCATGACCTTGTGACATGGTTGGCACCATCTCTGGAGTGGTCATGGGGTCGCGAGGTATCCTTTCCAATGAGGCCCGGTGTGTCGACCGAAAAAATAGAAGAAAAATATCAACAGCAGCCGCAAGTTCTCACGGACCCCGGCATCGATTTTTCGGACGTGGAGAAACAACAGAAGGACATGGAGAACAGCGGAAATAATGGAAAGAAGAGTGAGGAGGTCGTACAAACCAGAGTCGTTGTACTGTCATATCCGAGGTACTGCAGGTATCGAGCACTATTGAGGAGGCTCGAGGGTGCTGAACCGGCCTGGCTCTGCTCGTCGATCGCTGCAGCACTCGGAGGATTTACTGCATTACCTGGCACCAGGGTACTATTCTGTAGGGACACTTTTGATTATCCCGATTTGGAGACCCATGAATTACTGTGCAATCATTTAGGTGAGGTGACAAACTCTACTCGTCTTGTTGTCTTTTTTTTGTTTCATTGGATCTGTGCACGCGCCTATCTGTTCGTTGTGAAAATGAAGAAATCGAATTTATTAAACTTCATATTCTCACAGATGTTTTATAAATATTGATAATGACTTGAAGAGAATTAAGAGAATGAAGAGTGCACCATCAATGAATAATTTTTAATTTTTGATTAATTCTTTTTTTTTACTTTTTAACATAATCTGATTAAAATCTGTAATTGTTGAAAAATGAGGGGAGGGTTGAAAATTGATTTCCTAGAAAACTGAGAAAATTTCTTGAATTCTTCGGAAAACTTCACAGTTTTCCAGATAATCGTAGATCTTCAAAGATTTTTCTCGAATTACTGGGAAATCGAAGAATTTTCATGAATTTTGTAGAGTTTAGAATTTATGTATGAAAATCCGAGATATTTCGATATAAAACAACTTCACGTTTCTTTCATCTTCAGTAAATATAGGACTGCAGTCCTTTTTCGAGAAAGCATTGTCATCGCTCAATGCACAGAAACACTGTCGGTAATACATCGACATGAACTTTACCCGTTGAAAATACCGTGCGGATTTGAGAGCCGAAGGAAAAAAAAACACCAATGTTATTCGATTCTGTTAAATCTCGTGAAGACACAACAAAACTGTTCATTCTTTTCATTTAGAAACTGTAACCTCAAAATCATTGGAAGTTTTTTGTTCTGACGGGCAGTGACGGCACAAACCTTTACAAATACATCTCCCCACACCAGAAACCGACACTTACACTCGCACGAACCGGCAAGGCTGGCGCACTCGCTCGTCACCCGGCAGCAGTCCGTTTCGTCGTACACTTGTAGTCACGTGTTTCATATTTTTCATATCTACGAAACAATTACTTTTATCACTGACAGCTATATTCAGGTGAAGAAAAAAAAAACCACCAAAGTGTAGTTAAAATATTGAAACAAAACTCGAAGCGTTTGAATTCGTTTGCTCCTGATTTTTTTCACACGAGAAAAATAATTGACACACTGATCATGGCCATTGTCATGAAGATTCGGAACAATCAGGTCGTCTATCTCAACATTTTGGGTTCGTTTCAATTTCACTATTGTTTTTATGTTTCTAACATTCTTCAACACTGAATTTTTTACATGTTTATTCAATGAAGTCGTTTTTTGTTACTGTCCTTGAGTCATTTCTCTGTCGCCACGTGTTTTCTGTTGTTTTGATTCAGTGCCGGTGCGCTCGGCCTCGCAGAGGGCGAGGGAGTGAACCTTGTGCACATCAGACCTGTTGATGTCAATACATTCCGATTCTCGAGACAAACAATCACATTATCTTTTTCTCAATTAATTTTTTTTTCAATAATTTTAGAAATAATTGGGCGTGATTTTGTTATCGATTTTTCTCTTTCTCTGTTCACAGCTCCCAAATTGAAAGGCCGACCCCGAAGAAAGCGTAAAAAGCGCAGTGCTTCACCAGGCGAATCAAGCAATGAGAGTGAGGCTTCAGTGGCTTCGACTTCACGAAGTTCAACGTCGAATTCAAACTCGTTGGCTAAGGGGCCCTCAAGTACTGTTCGACGAAGCGAACGGAAGGCCAGTGTTGAGGAGAAAAAATTTCTCGCTGATGTACAGAACTTCATGAGCTCACGTGGAACTCCAGTTACAAAAATGCCATTGCTTGGATACAGACAGAGTGAGTGATTGTACACATGCACAATTCCATTTCCATGACAGTTCAGAAATTGAAAAAAAAAAAAAAAAACAACTGGCAGAATTCTTGTCTCGATGAGTCATATAGACAAAAGCATTATCAAGACGAAAGGATTTTTTTTTTCATTGAATTGAGGTGACATTGCAGTTGACAGTTGGATAATATAGGGTTTGATGCACACAAAAGTCCCTGTTGAGGGTATTTTACCTTTTCTTGGAGAGGTTCTGGTCCTTTTCCCTCGATTATTTATCGATAATCTATTGTTTCGTGGCGTGAGCGACCCCCAGCAGTACGCTGAGAGAAAATAAACACGTTGTCAAACAAGTCTTGTTTGGGCCAACAAAATCGCTAGTTGAAAATTGCCAAAAAAAAAATTTGTTTTGTTCGAATTTGAAAGTCTCAAACATGAATAATTGTTCTGCTTTCGACATATCATTATTATTGTTTCATTTAAGGGTTCATTTCTTGTCTGTGATTATTAGACAGTCGAAACGAAAAACTGCTATCCCTTATTTCGCATAAAACAAAGATTTTTCGGGAGCAAAATACGTATGGGAGTATTGAATAACGAGGGAGTAGTGCTAGGAATGGCATTTCTTGCGTGTACAGAGAATGCAATTTTTTTTGAACTACCAAATCTATTTTTGCGACAAAAATTTTTCATTCCAGCGAACTCTTGCATGTTTAGCACAAAAAATCCTTTTTTGATCATTTTCAAAAAACTTTTCTTGGCACAAGTAAGACTTGTTTGAGAATTTTGCCGTTTTTCTCTCAGTGTAGCGAAGTGGTAAAACGGTACAAGTCAATTTTGACCAGTTGTCAATGAATATCTCGGAATCTGAGGGAGATAGCAAAATTGTTGTTATAACCTTTTTTGTAGAGCCGGTCGAGAGCAACAACAAATGTAATTACGAAAATTTCACCATCTCCCTTAGAATTCGAAATATTCCTCAAAAACTCAACTGGGAGATGAGTCGACTTAAACCTTGTTACCACTTCGCTACTGATGACTTTTTGTCCGTGTAATCTGTAAATGAATTAATGGAATATGAGTGCAAGTGAACAAATAAATGCAAAACAATGAGACACTTCATTAAAATCTCGCTGTCCTGACCCTAAAAGCAGAAGCCAAGTGAAAACTTTCACTGAAAAAACGAAAACCAAAAATAATAAAGTTTTACGACTCAAGAGGACACACTCCTTCTTCAAATTTCAGCATGTCCTTAGGATTAAACCGCTCTGCAGTGCAGAGCACAACGGATCGTAAATTAGTCCCATTCTAGAACTGTTTTTCCAGTACATCATAAATCATTGTCGAGTAGTTTTTGTCCAATAATAAAAGAGCTCTGCTCGAATATTCCACCACTGACGAATGAATGTTTCATTTGCAGTTGATTTGTACGTATTCTACACAAAAGTCCAGAAACTGGGTGGATACGATTCAGTGAGTGCTGGACGTTTGTGGAAATCTATTTACGACGATATGGGTGGTCATACTGGATCAACGAGTGCAGCGACAATAACACGTCGACATTATGAAAGGTAAACAGTTTATCCAATCGTTTTTTCACGAATGCATGACCCTGTTATTTGCAGAGTAACTGAATGATATTTCCCCTTTAAACAGACTTCTCCTACCGTACGAGAGGCACCAGAAAGGTTCAGAGACCAAAGTCAGACCAGCTGGAAGGAGAACGAAATCCACATCAGACGAGCCGACTGTTGTAAAATCCGAAGCGACGCCTTCCCCACCTCGCACCCCTTCCTCAACGCCTCCAATGCAAAAGCTCTTCTCAACAATGTCACAGTTGCCAGACGGTGACAAACCAAAGACTGAGGTTAAGACTTCTTCCCTACGTAGTGTTCGAGTGAAGCCAGAACGCCTAAAATCTCTCAACACAATAATTTCGTCGATGCCCTCGTCGAGTCCTCCAACTCCTCCACCCTCATCGAATGCCTCAAATACCTCATCGACTAGTATAACTCCATCGACAACACCAACGGAAAGCCAGAGTGTTTTAGAAAGACAATTGAATAGTCCACTTGTCAACAATCAGCAGTCGCCTCCAACGCCACCAGCCCCACCACATCAAATCTCTCAGAACCCAAGTACGGTTGTGACCCTCACCCCACCACCGGAAAAAGATTTGAAAGAATTGAAATTAGAGAGCCAAAATGCGAAACAAACGACTCTGCTGGCTCAGGGTAAAGAGAACATTCCTCTCTTCGGTGAGAGAGCCCAATTCATCACAACCGAGAGGATCAATCCCCCAAAATCTCCAGAAGTCATTGATCTCGAACTGGAGAGTGACTCGAGTCGTGATAAAATTGTTATTCCATCGTTCAAGAAGAGAAAACTGGAGATATTGAGGGAGGGAGGACTCGAAGTGACAGCTGTGGAGTTGGACTCGAGGCCAAGTGTCATTCAAGCAACGATAACACCGGTGATAGTGCCCATTATTCCAAAACGAGACGACGAAATATCATCTCCAACAAAGCCAACTAACAGTACTGTACCAAAGTTGATTTCTGTCACAGTGACACCTGATATTGGCCACATGCTGCCATCACCTGGTGACACCGAGCCCCCAGTGCGACCTTCAAAGACTCACAACAATAATAACTCGAGTGTCAGCAACAACAACAACAACAGAGTCATCAATCTTGGAGCATCAAATAATTCCAACCTTCTCCAGATTTACGCCAATGCTGGCTCAGTGCCGACATCTCCAATATCTCCAGGGAGGTTTAACAGCTCTGGTGAAAGGATTTTACCCCCAAAAGTCACTCAGTCCAAGTCAATCTTCGGCTACACCGAGCGAATGGTTTATGGAAATCCAAAGGACATTTTGGCTCATCAGAAGTATCAACAAGCAGCTGTGGCTCCACCTCCTACTGCAATTATAAATCATGCTGGTGGTGTCTTGGATCTTACTGCAAAGCAATTGGACAAGAGTCAGTCATTCAGCAGACCAAATTTGGAGATTGTTCGGGTTCCCGTTGTCCCCAGGCCAAATCCCATGAATCTGGAGTTGAAGTCTGTGACGATTAAAGAAAAAATATCCGAGCCCTCGAGGAAGAGTCCCTTCAATTATCCAATGCTTGATAGCCGCACAATGGCGTCTAATAATCTTGAGATAACCCTGGTGAGTCCAAAAGTCAAGCCACAAGCGCAACTACCTAGTCCAGTGAGAAATGGCAATTCCATTTCGACCGTGAATAATGTTAATTTGAATCTGCAAAATCAGAGGATGAGAATGCAGAATGGAAAATTATCGGTGAGACCGGTTGAGAGCCTTTCACCGTACTCATCGAGGAAGCCAGCTGGTCAACAGGTGATTCCTAATATTCCAAATCTCAATCATCTTGCTGCTTATCCAGTGAGGGGGCTCAATCCTCATCAAATGGCTGCTGAAAAGAGAAAGAGTGAGACCAGAGATCAACAATTGAGCATTGAAAATGCTCAGAAAGCCCAGCGACAAGACCGACGACACAGTATGCCTAATATCTCGTCTGGATTTGCCCCAAGTGTTCCACCGAATTCTGGTTATGTCAGTCAACTGCCAAATACTGGAAAGTATCTGCCAGGGGGTATGGGCATGCTGGATCCTGTATATTATTCGGCCATTTGCAGTGGACTCTTCCCACCACCGGCTATGTCACCAGCTAGTCCCTATCTGTCACCTGAATTTAATGCTTATTATAAGGAACTACTTGGGGGACAAGCGAGGGTGCCACCGATGGGGCAGCCCACCATTCCCACATCCAAATAAGCCATTAAGGGAAAAAAACCTCGAGAGGGCAGTGTATTATTATGTGCAATCAAGACTCGGATTATCCACAAAGCTCTTCGGATTTATGGATTGGCAAAAAACTCTCCATATTTGAAAGATAGGCATCATGAAATATCCCACTTCATTTCGTTCATTTTTTCAAGACTCAATTTTCTACTGTTCAATTTCACTCAGCATTATTTTTATAAATTCTCCCTATTTTAATCGACCCTCATCTCTGCTTTCATGGCGATAATTCTGTTCACGGTTGAAATTATCTTGTGCACGATGCACTATTCATTATCGTTTAGGTAAGAGGAGCAAAGCTCCAAGGTTGAAAATATTTGAGAATCTGTTGGAGAACGGTAATTATTCAATTGATACCAAACATTGTAAAAGAAACGAACAAGACAAAATGCACGTGAAGACGAAAATGTGTAACAGGTGCAGTAAGTTTTTATAAGGAAAATTCATGATTTTTCATCCTTGCCTTCTTATGTAAGCCTGTGATTGGCGAATTGAGGAGATGAGTACTCGTAGTGCCCTCCTCACTCCGCATTTTTTCCCCTCGTTTCTGTTCTTTGAAACAATATTTTTTCTTTTGTTATTATTATTGAAGGATATTCTGTTTGCGTGTATTTTTTAACGAATGAGAAAAATCCGAGTGGATGTTTACGTACCAAAAGATGTAAATAAAACTGTAGGCGAGTGGTATGAAAAAAGTTGAATAAAAAAATTTTTAGATAATAACTGGTACAAAAAGTCGATACATCTTTCAGTACACTGTAGGAGCAAATGTTAAATAATTATCTTGCAATACGAGAGTGAAGGATTTCAACTTTCTTAGGATAGATAAATCTTGCTACTCGTTGCGTTAGGGGATAACTCAATGACTTTTTTTTCCATAACGTTAGAGGAGAGGGGATTTTTAGTGTGAAATGTTGAAGTCAACGTGAGTCTCCACGTTTTTTCATCTGAGTTTCATCTCCCTACTGGTGTGTGTGTGTGTGTGAGAAGTCTAGAACTCTCAGAATGCACTTATTTTCTCCATTCAATCGTGGGAATCGCCATTGGTTCCTGGTCAAACGAGTCTCTAAACGAGTGAAAAAATTACTGTTCAATTTTGTGTTCTGTTGAAAAAACACGTGTCGGTTTGCACGCAAGCGACGCAATAGTAGGAAGGAAAAAGGAAAAAAGAAAACAGTAAAAATGTACATACTGTATATAGGATCATCCAAACAATATAAATGGATTAGTTAGACGGAAAACAGCAACCATGTATTTGGATAAACAAAATTAAAACTACTATAAAAAAGTGTACAGACGGTATGATCGAGTGTGGCGCGCGCCTCTGCATCGTAGAAGTTATTGTAGAAAATTATCGGGAAACGAACCGTCCACAGATATGGAATCCCTCATGTTCGGTTGAAGTGGAGAATTATTTTACCAATAACTAATGAAAAATATTCTTTTTTTGTGATTCGTAGGGTTTTCTATAATGTTTCATTTTTATATTAGTAGAAGGCGTAAGGAAAAGGGCGATCGTCGACGCGCGCTGCCAAAATGTTCATGAATCTTAGACATATTAGTGAATATGGTCGTTTTAGGATACTTTTATCAAAAATTGAAGAACACATGAGAAAATCACACAAGTAACTTTGGAAAAGTACATAAATGAATAAAAGTTGTTCATTGAATCTAAAATGTGAAGTTGTTTATTCTCTCACTCTTTTCAAATTTAACTTTAAATTTAATTTTTTAAATTTTTTTTAATGAAGCGGTTCAACAGCCTAAAATCGATTTTTCTATTCAAAATAATTTTTGAGTATTTTTTCCCTATAATTCAAATAAATCGTTTAAACTCTTCTCTACCTCCCTCCCCCCCTCTGTATCCCCTTTAAGGTTAAATTTAATTTTTTTAATTTTTTTTAATGAAGCGGTACAACAGCCTAAAATCGATGTTTTTTTCAAAATAATTTTTGAGTATTTTTTCCTCATCTTTCAGATAAATCGTTTAAACTCTTCTCTACCTCCCCCCCCCTCTGTAGCCCTTTTAACGTTCCATTTAATTTTTTCAATTTTTAATAATAAAGCGGTTTAACAGCCTAAAACAGATTTTTTTTTTTTCAAAATAATTTTTGAGTATTTTTTTCTCATCTTTCAGATAAATCGTTTAAACTCTTCTCTACCTCCCCCCCCCTCTGTAGCCCTTTTAACGTTCCATTTAATTTTTTCAATTTTTAATAATAAAGCGGTTTAACAGCCTAAAACAGATTTTTTTTTTTTCAAAATAATTTTTGAGTATTTTTTTCTCATCTTTCAGATAAATCGTTTAAACTCTTCTCTACCTCCCCCCCCCTCTGTAGCCCTTTTAACGTTCCATTTAATTTTTTTAATTTTTAATAATAAAGCGGTTTAACAGCCCAAAACAGATTTTTTTTTTCAAAATAATTTTCGAGTATTTTTTCCCCTTCTTTCGGATAAATCGTTTAAACTCTTCTCTACCTCCCCCCCCCGCTCGACCCCTTTTACCGTTAAATTTAATTTTTATAATTTTTAAGAATGAAGCGCTGCAACAGCCGAGAATTGATTTTTTTTTAAACTAATTTTTGATTTTTTTCCCCATCTTCGCATAAATCGTTTAAACTCCTCTTCCCCTCCCCCCCGGAATCCCTTATGCAATGAATCGTCGAGGAAATGCTCATAATTCCCCAAAGTGAGAGAGAAGGTTTCACCGTCTCATTCGGTGTAATAAAAAAGAGTGGGGTGAAAAAGGGCCGTGGCTGAACCTTATTGATTTTTAGGGTGACACTACTGTCAACCGCTGGGACCTCTAGCCACGCTAAGACCCCCTCCCGCCATATTAAAAAAATAATCGACGAAACGAGCCCCAATGAGACATCCAGCGCATACTTTTTTCCTCTCCGAAAAGGGAGAGAGCAGTGCTCGCGTCGTCGGAGGAGACTCGTTTCCAATTCTTTTTTACCAGCTCTCGAAAAATTTAACCTCCTCAGGAGCCACGAGACGGCGCAGTGTGTCCCATTTTTAGCATTTTCATTTTTTTCCTCCAAACTAGAGAAGAAAGGAAAAAAAAGAGCTCATGCAACAGCGACGGTGAAAGCGTAACTGACGCACACAGACGCAGCCAGCAGCTAGGGGTGCCACCTCTGTGCGTCTCTCTCGCTCCCTCCCCTCTTCACCGAAAATACCTCTTTATCCCTGCGGCGTCGCTGACGTTTTATACACACGCCAGAGACTTTGACAGGGCCGTACGTAGCATGCGTCACGTGCATGCAACTTCGGACGCTTCACCTGCGTTTTGCATCCGCATGTAATGAACTTTGTTCTCGCCTCCGTCCAATGTCGATGAACAAAACAGCAAATTGAAAGATTAATGTCTCTCGTCTCTACCTTTTTTGCGAGATGCATTAATTCTTTCTTGTTCTTGCGAAGACCGATGCATTGTGAGGTATTAAACAATACATGTGGACGTCCACATGACCACGTCCACGGGACCACTTTGTCGATTCTAGTTTCCGAGATATTCACGTTTTTGTGTCAGCAACTCCCATTTGCACCAATGTTAATAGTATATTTCGTAACGAGTGCAAAAAAGTGTTTTTTGGCGAGTGGGAGGTTTATATCACGAGCCGAAGGCGAGTGATATAATCCCACGAGCTAAAAAACATTTTTTCACGAGTTACGAACAATATTTTTCATCACGATGTGGCGGAAACTGGACTTTTAGGCACGCGGAGCGTGCCGAAAAGTTCACTTTTCGTCACAGCGTGATGAAAATTGTTTTTTCCATCTTCTCTTTGACCCCATGAAGATCATTTTGGGCGCCAAATGTGCGGAATGTTATCAATATTATCAGAGTATACATAACACCATATCGACAAAGTGGTCCATTTTCATGCGGACGTCCACATATAGGGGAGGCTGGGGTAAAACGGACACTTTTGGCTTTTTTAAAAATGTTAATGAGAGGTTGAAATGGTGATAAAATTTAATAATTTTTTATTCAATACAAAGAACAACTCTTTCCCTTTGTGACGAGCCTAAACTGAGCTCAATTGATAAATTTGTTTCTGAGTTATAAATAATTTGTAAAAAGTCTAAAGTGTCCATTTTACCCCACCCTCCCCTATCAGCACTCTAATAACGAGAAAAGCCACAAATAAGTGGGGACTAACAGTGATACTAGACCTCAACTAATTTAAAGCAGAGTTGAAATGAAGGATAACAGGAAAATAAACATAGAAGAAATCTTATGCAACTGATGTTAACTAATTATTAAGGAGAGGAGGCGACTGCATAGGTGTAAAACAAAGAAAAACATTTGTAACAATAAAAAGATGAAAAAATATTTAAAAAACATGAACAATCTGACGAACTGCATTGTTACGTATTACTGAAAACAGTAGTCTGAAGCGCTGTTTTTCTGGAAGAAAAAGAGAAAATAGCTTCAAGTGCATTGGGTTTGACCTTGACTGATGGGTCATTCGTTTTGGATAAATGTCACGAGAGTCTGAAACTACTGATTCAGTGTTACGCGCAGTAGATATCAGCCTGTTACAAAACAGTGGAATATGCAAGTTTAATAACAGTTGAGTTTTTGTACAACGATGGAAAATCAATTGCAGTCATTGCGCCAAGGCTTTCAAAGGTGAGCAGAGATCCTCCTGGACGAAATGATGGTGAGGAGAGTGGATACGAAAACCAAAAAGAAGTGGGGCAGAAGGCTGAAGTTGAAGCGACGAGCCATCCTCGTAAATGTGCATTCGAGAGCGATCTTTAGTGCTGTTACTGTGCATTTCTCAATGGTCTTCAGATAGTCACGAGTATTTCGCCATAGGACAGTTGGAGTGGCATTTCGTTTTAAATTTTGATTCGACAAAACGATGAGTCAATGGATCACGCACTAATTTCATTGGGAATGCACACGTGCTCTTCATTCCAATTTCCGACTATTTTGTTGAATGGAAAGCAGCAATGGACATGAACATTTGAGAATGACGATAAATATTTTCTTCTCATTCGCAGTCTTCCACAGAATCATTGATTAATTGATTTATCTTGCAGGAAAAAAGTGAATAGAAAAAGGATTTTCAGAAAAAGAAATTCCTCATTTATTATTCTCACAAGATGATTGAGAGGAGCATAATGGTATTCACATGAGAGTACTGTAGAATAAAATTGTAATATAAAAAAAAAGAATCGACAATTGTAAAGTTTTACATTTTTCAAGAAAGCTATTTTCATGGAAGAGAAATGTTGGGGCACCGCGATGAGACTTGGACGTACCTGAAAAAAGGCAGTCTTTTGACTCGGGTGGTACACACTCCATCTCTGTCCCACACTGTGAAGCGGATCATTTGTGGTGTTTGTGTGATATCGTGAAAAAGGTGGAAAAAAAATTGTTTTACTTTCCACGGTCCAATCCGATGCAAAAATAAATGGAATGGGGGTGTGTATGCTTCTGGACTATAAACGGAGGTGAAAAAAGTGGTTGAAGTTCATCAATACTCTTATACCATCGAAATAATCGCGAAAAATGCCGGCGTTGAGGTACACAATTTATTCCAAGTTGTTGACGACCGAAATTGTGAGTTTTTGTGAAAGCAGAATGAAGAAAAAATGAAGAAGCCGGTTACTGGCCGAGTAAGATTATTTGCTGGGATGAGAAGTGTAATAAAAAGTTGAAAATTATACGGGAAAATATTGTGTGATTGTGGGACTCGCGTTAACGCGTTTACAGGGACTTTTCTAGGTTAGGTCGCCGGTACATAACCTGAGTGTGGCATCTTGGAGTGATTACGGGGAAAAAAAGTTTTACAAGTTGGAAAATCGAATTTTGTGTCTCAAGTTTTGTCGATCCATTTTTTAATTTGCACGTTGCAGTGTTTTTTTCATCCATTTTATTCATTTTTTGTCAGTGCTGAAGTTTTAAAAAAAGGTGAAATTTATGAGTGATTGGTTTTTTTGGGGCTGCGCGATGGGTGAGGTGGAGTGAGGATTTTTTGTGAAAAAAACGATGAAGGCCAATGGAACTAATAATGGTAATTTTCATAAATTTCGATATTTTGTTGTATTTGTAAGCCTTGATGGGAAGTATATCCACCAAGTGGAGAGGTCGTGTTTACTAAAAACAAAATTATAACCTCTTCCAGTATCAATATCAATGTTGGAGAAATAATTCAGTAGCGAAGTGATAACACGGTTCAAGTCAACTAATCTCCCACTTGAGTTTTTGAGGACTATCTCGGAATCTAAGAAAGATAGCAAAATTTTCCTAATCACATTTGTTGTAGCTCTCAATCGGCTCTACAAAAAAGGTTATAACAAAAATTTTGCTATCTCCCCCAGATTCCAAGATATTCATTGAAAACGGCTCAACAGCCAAAATTCACTTGTACCTTTTTTCCCTTTTAAAGATTTTTATTAACGTCAATGATACAGCAAGGCAGCAGAGTGTCCATTGTTAACTTACGTCTATCTCTCATGTTTTCAGCCCTCGGGCTTTTACTCATATCATTAGCGAAGTAGTAAAACGGTACAAGTCAATTTTGACTATTACCCCATTTTCAATGAATATCTCGGAATCTAAGAGAGATAGCAAAATTTTTATTATGACCTTTTTTGTAGAGCCGATTGAGAGCTACAACAAATGTCATTACAAAAATTTCGGTATCTCCCTTAGATGCCGAAATATTCCTCAAAAACGCAACTGGGAGATAAGTTGACTTATCTCCGTTTACCACTTCACTACTGAATTGTTCAATCACTTTGACATTCGACTTGATCCACTGTAATGTTCACCACTGAATGACAGTGAAATGTCTTTCTGGTTGAAGGCTGTAGCCGCTTGAATACCCCACTGGCAGCTACAACCACCCTGGAGGATCCAGGAACCCCAGCGTCATGGAAGGGTCCACCACCAGGCTCGGAGGCGTCTCCATTTACGCCAAATTCCGTTGGCCAAGGTGGTGGCCCTGGTGGTGGCCCTTACAACAGCGCTGGTGGCCCTCCAAGTAATGCTGGAGGTTTCCAAGGACCTTCGCCATTTCCTGGTGGTGCTGGGAGTCCTGCAAGTGCCCCACCTTATCAGGGGCCACCTCCTGGCTCAGGGACACCTCAGTACACAGCCTCGCCTGCACCCAGTGGCTCTTCCACCCCTGGGCCTGGTCCACCCCAAAACCAAAGTGGTTTTCCGCCCCCGCCGAATAATACAGGCCCCCCTTACAATGGGCCAGGACCAAGTCCCTTCGGATCACCTTCGAGTGGCCCTCCACAGTTTGTTGGGAGGCCTGGCTCTTCGGGGCCACCTTTTGTGCCTCCTGGAGCTGGGAATCCCCATTTTCCTTCGCCCGGCCAACCCTTCGGGGGCCCGCAGTATGGAATGCCACCAGGAAGCCCTTTTGGAGGAGGTGGGGGCCATCCCATGTCAGGACCCATGGGCCCTGGACACCCCATGATGGGGCCTGGAGGACCTGTTGACAGAATGGATCAAGGGTATGTCGATAAGCATTTTTAACTTTCTTCGAAACAGATGGACCAGGAATTTCGTCAGCGCATAATTATTCATCATTTGAGGTAGCGAAACGTCAGTCTTGAATATGATGACATTTCAAAATCCATCTGGTTCAATATGATACACAAACAAGATGAGCACGAGGTACAATTTTTTTCAACAGTTTTTTGGAGGAGAGAGTGGGGCAAAATGAAACATGAGGGTGAATGAAACAGTGGAAAAATGACTGTTTGACGCAATTCAAGCCAAAAAAATTCTTGTTATGTTTTTTTTAATCAATTTTTGTTCATTCTATTTGTTTCATTCTTGAGAGTACTAATGAGAATAATAATTTTTCATTCAGTAGAATGAAAAATTATTGAGAAGTTTTGACGGGAGAAAATTTTGTCAATGGATTAATTGATAACAAAATAAAATGACAGTTTGAGGCAATTCTAGCAAAAAAAAATTTTTTTTGTAAATATTTTTTTTATCAACTTTTGTTTATTAATTTATTTTCATTCTTGAGAGTACTAATGAGAATAATAATTTTTCATTCAGTAGAATGAAAAATTATTGAGAAGTTTTGACGGTAGAAGGTTTTGTCAATGGATTAATTGATAACAAAACAAAATGACAGTTTGAGGTAATTCAAGCAAAAAAAATTTTTCTTTTGTAAATATTTTTTTTATCAACTTTTGTTTATTAATTTATTTTTATTCTTGAGAGTACTAATGAGACTGATAAATTTTCATTCAGTAGAATGAAAAATTATTGAGAAGTTTTGACGGGAGAAGATTTTATCAATGGATTAATTAAAAACAAAACAAAATGACAGTTTGACGAAATTCAAGCAAAAAAAATTTTTGTTTGGCAAATATTTTTTTTATTAACTTTTGTTTATTAATTTATTTTTATTCTTGAGAGTACTAATGAGAATAATAATTTTTCATTCTACTGAATGAAAAATTATTGAGAAGTTTTGACGGGAGAAGATTTGTCAATGGATTAATTGAAAACGAAACGAAACAGTAAAATCCCAAGGTCCAGGGGAGACCCTCAGGGTGGAAAAAGGAAAATGTGATGCTGAATTTCAGTCGAATGAAAAAACAAAAGTGTAATCGGCCTAATCTAATCAATTGAATCATAAGACGAATAGAAAATTATTATTCTCATCAGTACTCCCAATAATTAAAACGTTAATAAAAAAAATTAACAAAAAAATGTATTTTACTTGAATTGCGTCAAAAGTCATGTTTTGACTTTCATTTTGCCCCCCTCTCCCCTAGTAGAAATAATTTTGTTACATCATATTTTGTGAGGAACCACCGAATTCCCTTGCATTAGATTATTCAGTTGATGATTAGGCAAAGGATCATCTCCATATGTTTCCGAATACCGAGAAACAACTCTCGATATTTTTATGATAACATGCTCACTGGAATTTCGCGATACGTAAAACATTTTCCAAGAGCTCTCCGCTATCAGTTGGAGTTTAGTGGTAGCAACATTTATTTATTGCTCGTGCATCCTGGTCAAGCGGTCTCTCACTGATAGCCCGGGCTACTTCGGTCTTGTCCAAAGAGAATTCTAGAAGTGCATGACTGAAATGAAGGCACTTTTTCACGAGAAATCCCCTTCCCTTTTCTCTCTTAATTCTAAAAAACTTTCGTCGTGAATCAATAATCGCAGAGAACTTACACTTTATCGAAGTCAATACCGACAAGCATTTCATGTTTGTAAATCTCGATGTTTGACTTTATAAAAAAAAAAAGGAACACATGTAGACTCTTGAATTTGCTGTGAACAAGTATGCGTGATACCGATATCCTGACCCAACTTGTATTTGTTTTTGGCGCGAGGAACTTTTTGAGATGGTTGTACAGTCGAGATATCAAACGTAACATGAAGAGAGGTGATGGAGAAGAAGGGTAGGCTTGTCACGCGACTTTTGTGCGAGCTTGTACGCAACTCATCTCTCCCCCCACCTCTGTAAAACGCTCTTATAGTCACCCTGTGTTACGAGCGGCCCGCAAAGTAGGGGAAGTAACGTGGTTCTCATTTTTATGTTAGCGTTTCATCATTTCCATTCAATAATTGAGTGTTTCTGTTCATTGATTAATCGAATTCCAAAATTCCAAACACTTTACTGGAGGATTCGTCGGAAAGAAGAGAAACGTGAACAATGTAGGGGAGGTTGGGGTAAAACGGACACTTGACTTTTTTTTAAATGTTTATGAGGGGTTGAAGTGTTGATGAAATTTGATAATTTGTTTTCAATGCAAAGAACAATTGTTTCCCTTTGTGACGATAAGATGTATGCGCGCTCTCGCGCGCGCTGATCTATTCATTTGTTGAAATGAAGAAATGGAATTCATTGAATTTCATTTTCTCATGAATACTTCATAAATATTGATAATGAATCAACGAGAATTCGACTAATGATTGAAGTGAATAGCGAAGTAGAGTAAAAGAATCTAGAAGGAATTCTTCATTTTCAATTAATTATCTTCAATTTTTTTAAATAATCGGTCTCCATAAAAGGACAGAATTTATTAATTTCACCGATGATATATAGAAATATGTGAAATATATATATGAAATATATATATGTAAGACGTAAAAAAAAAATTTACCACTGAAGAATTTGAAATTATGTCACTGAAGAATTTGAAAATGTTTTTTTTTGTGAATAACTTCGTGTCATATATTGACCAATGAGAATTAAGGATTAGCGGTCAGGCAGTTTCGAGATATTTCGTAGAGTTTAGAATTTATGTATGAAAATCTGAGAACCAAGAATTGATCATTTTCGCGTATGATAAATATGAAAAATTAAAATTTGGGAAGTGATGAATAATTTGTGCATTAAAAAAATTTAGAAAAATTTAGAAATAGGGGAGGGTGGGGTAAAATGGATACTTTTCACTTTTTTAAAAATGAAAATCAAAAAAAAAATCAAATCTCAATTGATAAATATATTTATGAGTTATGAATACATAACTCATAAATATATTTATCAATTGAGCTCAATCTAGGCTCATCACAAAGGGGAAGAATTGCCCTTTTTATTGAAAAAAAAATGATACAATTTCATTAACAATTGAATAACTCATTAGCATTAGAAAAAAAGTAAAAAGTGTCCGTTTTACCCCATTGTCCCCTATTCTCCTTTTTATATAAGATTCTATTCTACTAAAGACTTTGTTGCTTGAAGATGAAGAAATGATTCAAAGTGAGAACCACGTGGAATTGTCTCGCCCCCATTTCTCTGTCACCTCCTTTAGGTGGAAAGAGTACTCCCCCCTCGTCGTCCCTATCGGTATGATACGCTTGGGGTACACCGAGTTCGCAATGCGCGTCTGCCACCTCTGTTCGCACTGTCTCCCATGCCAAGTGAACTTGGAGGAGACGACGCTTGAACATTGGAGGATGTCCCATTGTGGATTTTCTTTTCTTACATTTCATTGCTGTCTTTACTTTAAAAAAAAAAAGAAAATGATGCCCTACCTTCTGGAGGCGATCCATTTACCGTGAGCTAAACAGATATCCGTTATCATCAGAATGGCGTGTATTATTGCATTAGCGCGCCTGTTGATCAACGTGATCAACCGTCGACACTAGCGCTCGGAACATATCAACGGAATTCCTTCTTTATCAACGAGGCTCTCCTGCTCAATTATTGTTTGCAGGAAATATAAAAAAGCTTGTAGAGCTTTCAACTCAATTTTCTGGATAATCAAGTGCTCAAACGATCGAAGAATTTTAGGGAAAAAGCGGAGGTAAGCTGTTATTCTGCAGTCACTCCAAGTAGATCTCCAATCTATATGGAGCGCCGCTCTGTACTGACCCATGATAACGATGATATAGTACTTTTTTCATGCAGCAAAAAAAATTCGCTAGAGTTCTATGAAGCTGAAACTGGCAGAATATTCGTCAGCGGAAAATTCAGTTTAGGAGATATTTAAGTGAAGGAGAGTCGAATAATCATATGTACAAATGTTTTTTAAGTGCGAAAGAGTTTGTACATTACTTAAAGACATTTGTATACTCCTAGATTCGCCTAAGAGAAGTCTTCTGCTGTCGAATCTCGCTCACGAAAAAAAAAAATTAAATTGAGTTAAAATATACTTGAATCAAGCATATTATTCTAATATATACTTGAATTAAATATATTATTCTTCAAGTATATTTTATAATCGAATCAAGAATAATATACTTGAATCAGGTATATAATATACTCGAATCAAGAATAAATTCGCTAGAGTTCTATGAAGCTGAAACTAGCAGAATATTCGTCAGCGGAAAATTCAGTTTAGGAGATATTTAAGTGAAGGAGAGTCGAATAATCATATGTACAAATGTTTTTTAAGTGCTAAAGAGTTTGTACATTACTTAAAAACATTTGTATACCCCTAGATTCGCCTAAGAGAAGTCTTCTGCTGTCGAATTTTTCGCTCACGAAAAAAAAAATACTTAAATTGCGTTAAAATATACTTGAATCAAGCATATTTTTCTTGATTCGAGTATAAAATATATTCGAATCAAGAATAATATACTTGAATCAGGTATGTAATATACTCGAATTAAGAATAAATTCGCTAGAGTTCTATGAAGCTGAAACTAGCAGAATATTCGTCAGCGGAAAATTCAGTTTAGGCGATATTTAAGTGGATGAAAGTCGAATAATCATATGTACAAATGTTTTTTAAGTGCGAAAGAGTTTGTACATTACTTAAAAACATTTGTATACCCCTAGATTCGCCTAAAAGAAGTCTTCTGCTGTCGAATCTTTGGCTCACGGAAAAAAATACTTAAATTGAGTTAAAATATACTTGAATCAAGGATATTTTATGCTCGAATCAAGAATAATATTCCTGAATCAAGTATACAATATATTTAATTCGAGTATAAAATATACTTGATTCAACTATATTTTATACTCAATTCAAGTATATTTTTTTCCGTGCTAGTTTCAGTTTCATTCAAGTTCTCCATTTTT